AGGAAGGTAGAAATCAGTGTAGAAATTACTCAAAAGACTAGGATTAGAGATCCAGCTATTCCTCTTCTGGGTATTTTCCCAGAAAAATTAAAAATATATCACAGTCATATATGTGGACTCATGTTTATAGCAGCACAATTTGTAATAGCTAGATCGTGGAAACAACCCAAATGTCCATCAACCAAGGAACATATAAAGAAAGATGTGGTATTTTTATAAATGGAATATTACTCAGCTATAAAGGATGAAATGGAAACTTACAGGTAAATAGATGCAACTTGAGACCATACTCATAAGTGAAATAAAACAGACCAAATGTGTAAACACCATAATGTATCCCTAGTACAGGAAGCTGAAAGAGCAAATAAAATCAAAATGTACAACAGATATTGTGAAATGGGAAGAAACTGTTCAAAAGGAAAAAGAAATTAGGATGGGAGAGGGGGCTTCCAGGTAAGCTCAGCTGTTTAAAACACCTGCTTGGACAAACTCAGTCAGGCACAAGAGAGACCGAGGTTCAACCCCCAGCTCCACAAGCTGCGCTAAACCTGCCCTCAACGCAGCCTGAGCTAGCCAAAAAAAAAAAAAAAAATCTTTCTCCACTTTTTGGGCTGGCCAAATAGCTCAGCGGATTAAAGCACCTGCTAAGGCAGATGCAGGGGTCAGGATTTGATCCCCAGGCCTGCTGTGCCAGCCTCGCCCCTGGCGTACATTGAGAGGGCAACTGAGACTGAGCGTGTTGGCATGTGCCTGTAATCCCAGCTCTTGGGAGGCTGTAAACAGGCAGATCACCAAGAGTCCGATCTAGTAGAGAGATGCTGAACATCCCTGTAGATCCTTCTCTAAAATACAAAAAGAGATGTAATCAAGAATTTAAGAGTCGGGTGTGGTAGCACATGCCTGTAATCCCAGCACTTGGGAGGCTGAGGCAGGAGGATCTTTCAAGTTTAAGACCAACCTGGGCTACAAAGTGAGCTCAAGGCCAGCCTGAACTGCAGAGCAGGACCCAATCTCAAAAAGATGAAACAGAAAGCTTAATATTACTGAAAACGCACCGTAGGGCCGGAGAGATAGCCTTACACGCCTGCCTGGCAAGCACAGACGGAGTCTGATCCCTGGTACTGCATGCTGTACCCCCAGAGCCATGCAGCAAGACCCTGATCAAAAATTATGTAACAGGGCTAGGGATATAGCTCAGCGGCTTAAGCACCTGCCTGGCAAGCCCAAGGTCCCAAGTTCAATCCACCAGAACAACAATAACAAAAAAAGTGCTGTACTTCTTTAGCCCACAAGACAGCTCAGCGGGCTAAAGTGCTTGCTTAGGCAAGCTCAGGCAAGCGCAGTCCCCAGCACCACATGCTGTGCCAGCCTGGCCCCCACGGTGAGTTGAGCCAGCCAGAGTCTGGGTGCAGTGGTGTAGGCCCATAATCCCAGCGCTGGGGAGGCTGAAAGCAGGAGGATTACCACGAGTCCAAGCTGTGCAGTAAGACCCTGCAACAACCAAATACATTAAAATAAAATAAAAAATTTTAAACAACATGTATCTCTCTCTCTTTTTTTTT